TGAATCTCAAGGATTCGGTTACAGCCGGCTGGACAGCCCCTCCAGGAAGAAATGGTTCATGGCCAGCAAGGGGGCTCACCTGGTAAAGGCAGTTTGGCACCTGAGTTTGGGCCTCGGAATCCCCATGGTGGAAGGAGGGAGCAGACTCCTGAAAGTTGATCTCTGACCTCCACACATGAGCCATGGCAGTGGAACATCCGCATATGCAAATAAATAAGTAAATATGAAAACAAGTGGTTCAGCTTGGAGTTGTGTACACCTGCAATCCTAGCACTTAGGAAGATAGGCTGGGGGACCCCCAGTTTGAGTCCAACCTAAGCTACCAAGTGGGGGGGGGCCCAGTTTGAGGCCAACGAAAGCTACCAAGTGAGGCTCCATCTCAAAAAAAATGAAAAAACAAAGAAGTAAAAAGTCCTTACAGCCACTTTTAGTTGGTAGCATGATATTTTGGTTTAATGCCAAAACCTTTCAGGCATTCCCAATTGTTAGGTAATTGGATTGTATTGATTACTTAGTGCTGTGTAACAAGTCAAACCAAACAGTGTCGTAAAAGAGTGAACACCGTCTCCGTCTCTGTGGGGAAATCCTTTGCATGTGCCTGTGGCTCTGAGTCTATTATAATGGCCATAACTTAAGCTCTCAACTGGGCTGTGCTCAGTCTAACCACACCCCCGGGGGGAGGGGGAGAGACTTTCCAACCTCACTCTGGGCTGCAGTACCCAGCTTCTGTTGAAGCTCCTCCAAGGTCAGGGAAGGAGACAGCGAAGGAACTGCTGTTATGACAAGATGAAAGGAACTGATGGTAATGTGAGCTGAAGTGTTCCTGCAACACGAATTCCTACCTTATTATAATAAAAACCGGGGCCAGATACTGGGGTGAATGCTGAAAGATCAGAGAAGCAGAGAAAGCCACAGCCACCACCTCTTACCTCACCAACTCCTCAGCCTGAAAGAGCCTCTAGTTCCTGTCTCCTCACGCCTTATACACCTTTCTCTGCTCAGCCATCACTTCCTGGGATTGAAGGTGTGTGCTTCCCAAGCAAAAGCATGAGCTCTCAAGTGCTAGGATTAAAGGTGTGTGCCACCACGGCCTGGACTCTGTGTTTACTCTAGTGGCTTGCTCTGTTCTCTGATTTCAGGCAAATTTTATTAGGGTACACAATACATCCCCACAGTCCCCCGCCAAATGCATCTGTTGAAGGCTGGACCAGACCTTGAGTAACATTACTGGGGAGATGGAAGCTTTAAGAGGTGGGTTCTTTTTGCTGTTGTTTTTATTTTAAATATTATTTTGCTGTTGATTTGGTGGAGAGAGGAAGACAGCAGAAGGCTGGTCTCAAACTTATAGAAATCCTCCTGCCTCAGTTTCCTTGGTGTTGAAATTACAGGCATGTGCTACCATGCTCCGGAACTAAGGACTGCTTTAGGTGGGAGGATAGGGGAGCTCTCTCTTTGAAGAGAGAGAAGACTTAGAGGTAAAAGCGGGCCACTCAGGATCTTAAGGTAAAAGCTGTGTGTGTGTGTGTGTGTGTGTGTGTATCTGTCTGTCTGTCTGTCTGTGTGTCTGTCTGTGTGTGTATGTGTGTGTGTGTCTGTCTGTGTATGTGTGTGTATGTGTGTGTGTCTGTGTGTGTGTATGTGTGTGTGTGTGTCTGTGTGTGTGTGTGTCTGTGTGTCTGTGTGTGTGTATGTGTGTGTCTGTCTGTGTCTGTGTGTATGTGTGTGTGTGTCTGTCTGTGTATGTGTGTGTGTGTGTCTGTGTGTGTGTCTGTGTCTGTGTGTGTGTGTGAATCTATGTCAAGGCTAGGGGCCCCCGAGGGTGGTGAGGTGGGTCTAGGAGAATGGTGTAGCTGAGGTGGGAGAAGGAAGCAGAAGCCATATCCTTCTAGACGTCAGCACATAGAAAGGACTGAGAAAGCGGGTGGTGGTGGTGCATGACTTTAATCCCAACACTTGGGAGGCAGAGGCAGGTGGATCTCTGTGAGTTCGAGGCCAGCCCAGGCTACAGAGTGAGTTCCAGGACAGGCAGGACTATTACACAGAGAAACCCTGTCTTGAAAAACCAGATAGATAGATAGATAGATAGATAGATAGATAGATAGATAGATAGATAGATAGATAGATAGATAGACAGACAGACCCAAGTGTCTGGGTATATCTCTGAGGGATTTTTCTTGCTTGAATCATTTGAAGTGGGAAGACCACTGGATCTTTGAAGGTGGAAAGATGCACTTTAAATGTGGACCAAGTCCTCTGCTGGCAGCCTGTATAAAAGACCTGGAGGAAGGAAATGCTTGCTCTCTGCCTGCTTGCCCTGGCTCTCACGGCAAGTCCATTCCTTCACAGGCATTAGAGCCCACTTCTTCAGGATTCCACTGTGCACTGGAGACCAGCTGAGACATCCAGCCTTGAGGGCTGAACAATTAGTTACTGGATTCGTGGACCTTCCATACAGAGCCAGCCATTGTTGGATTAGCTGAACCAGAGCTTAGAAGCCATTCTAGTAAATCCCAGAAGTACCTGTGGGGTTTAATTGATCACATATATGTATGTGTATGGGATTTAAAAGATTCCTATAGATATTCATCATCTGTAGGAGTCTATCTCTGTCTACCAGTCTGTCTACTCTGTCAGTTTGTCCTCTGGAGAACCCTGACTAATACAGACAACAGTGGTGCAGACTTGTAGTCTCTCAGTTACTCGGGGGTGGTGGTGGTGGGGGGGACAGAGGCAGAGGATCTGGAGTTTAAGGCCAGCTTGAAACATCTCAAAAAACAAACTGACCAAACCAAAAAAATCTTAGAATTAGCCTTTTTTAGGTCTTTGTGTGTACACATTGCAACCAATCTTAGTAGTTAATGTTATTTCTGCTATAAAGAAATAACAGAAGAGTGAATCTGGCCTGTGAGAAGGGGTCCTGGAATTCAGATCAGGTAGTCCTTCAGATCATGCAGGGCTGCTTTCTCCTCTTGGAATGACTAACTGAGCAACTCTGGTTTATGCTCGCTTCCTTATTTGCCCAGGAACTATTTATATGTTCCAGACATAGTTGGAGCTCAATAAACATCTTTCTCAACCTTTCTGTGTATTTTATGCACACACACTTAATATGCTTGTTTTTTTGAGACAGGGTTTCTCTGCGGAGCCCTAGCTGTCCTGGAATTCACTCTATAGACCAGGCTGGCCAAACTCATAGCGATCCACCTGCCTCCTGCCTCTGCCTCCTGAGTGCTGGGACTAAAGGCGTGCCCACCACTGCCCAGCTTACTTTACTTACTTTTCTATACCCACACATACTTTTTTTTTTTTTTTTTTTTTTGAGATGTAGTCCCAGGCTGACTGTGAGCACACTAGAGAGCCCAAGATGGCCTGGAATTTCCAATCTTCCTGGATGTATCTCCCCAGTACTGGAGTAAGGCACAACACCAGGACTTTATTTATTGTTACTATTGTTTGCTTTTAAATCCGAGGTCAATAACTTTCCACATATATTTTAAAAAGTAAAGCCCGAAAGTTAATGTGCCAGGCATCGTTCACAAAAGTAAAGGAAAGAGATTCCCAGCATGCACCCCCCAGTGCTTTGCAGTGCCGGGCCATGCAGGGTGTTTGGATTTCCACCATAAGGGAGCATAAGCAGCCAAGGGACATTCGATCATCCAGACCTCAGTGAAGTCGACAGGGAAGGCCCTGGCTGCACAGAGGCCGTGAGATTTTGCGGCCGTGTCATCTGATTGGGGAAAAGGCACATCAGGCAGCAAGCTACTAAGCCAACTTGGCAGAGCGGGCCTAACAAGAAAAAGCAGCATCTTTAGACTAGAGTACAGGGTGGTGGTCTGCTGGACTAGCCGACCTGTTAACTAGGAGGAAGGGTTCGGTGTGCTAAGACGAACCCTGAAAAGCTAACAGCCATGTTCAGTGACTGAGAGGGAACGCTGTGTGCCTGGGGACGCTTGGAGGGACACTAGGCATCCTGGAAGGCAGCTCGGGTGTCGATCCCCTCCGGGGCTGAACTCAGGCGGGCGAGACGCTGGCACGTGGGAAAAGAAGGAACAGGAAGGAGAAAGGGGCCCGAGCAAACGCGCTCGGCACCGACTCCAGGATGCGCGGTGAGAACGCCGGTGCAGACGCCCGGCCTGCCCGGAGCACCGCAGCAGGGAGGAACCGAGCGCCCGGAGCCCGCCCGCCCGCCCGCGCGCTTTTCCGGGGGACGAGCGAGCGAACGGCTCGGCTCGGCTCGGCTCGGCTCGGCTCGGCTCGGCTCGGCTCGGCTCGGCTCGGCTCGGCTCGGCT